GAAAAAAAATATATAGGCCTATATCAAATACTGAAATTAAAAATTATAAATGGGATTAAAAATTCTTTAGTAATTTAAAGTTTTTATCATTGTATTTTTGTATTTCAGTTTTTATTATTTAAATAATAAAATTTAAATTTTGAATTTTAATTGTTTTATTTTTGTATATACCAATTAAATAATTAATTGTTTAATTGTTTAATAAACAAAAAATGTTTATTAAATAAACAATTGTTAAATAAACAAAAATAAATGAAAATAAATGCAATTGTACTTAAAAAATATCTAATAAATCAATTAATAGAAAAATTAGATTATGTTTAATGATTGAATAAAATAATTTTATTAACAGTTTTTACAGTAATGAATAAAACTTTCTAATTATTCTGAACAGAAGTCTTTGTTTTATAAGAAAATAAAAGTATTCTTTTTTTAATTTGTAATCTTATGTAACAAAAAAAAATATTTACTTTTAGATGTAAGATCTTCGCATATTGAAAACGTCTAAAATGTTAACTAAATATTAACTAAAATGTATTTGGATTAATAATTAGAATTTTTTTTTCACTTAGAAGATATGACTTAATTTAAAAATTTTATTCATAAACGTCAAAAAAATCACTTGCTTTTTATATTGTTCTTCATTCAAGAAAGAATAAAATCGAATAAAGAATTTTGAAATAAAAGAAATAAAAATATAATGTTTAAAAAATGACGGTGATTGTAATAACATAGAATATTTCAATAGACAAGTTTAATGCAATAGTTCTAAAAATACTCACAACGAACATTGAGTATGACTGTTGCATTAGAAGATCCTTCCTCGTTACTGGCTTCGCAAGTATAAATAGAAGAGTCGTACCTTGAGGCACTTTTAATGTACAGCACTGGTCCTAATGAGGTGACTCGAAGGCGAATCTCTTTGCTATTCTTTGTCGATTTGTCTTCAGAGGATTCAACTGGAACAGGTGCACCTTCTTTATACCATTTATAGGAAATTACATCTGGATTCCCAACAGCAGTTAAGTTTATTTCTATAGAGTCACCTTCCATTAAATCTCGTTTCTGAACAATACTTGAAAATTTGGGCTTATCTAAAAGTATGTATATATGTATATATTTTTAAATATATTCCAAAATTTTAACAAAAATTATTTAATATTTAGCCATTAATTAAACATAAATATAGTTCGATTTTTTAAATATAATTCAAATTAAAATTATACAAACTTTTAAAATATAAATATTTTTATATTTAAATAAACATGCAGCATATTCTTTAAACACTTCTTAAAATTATTTAAAATATTCTTAAAATATATTAATAAAATATATTACAATAAGTGTAAAGCATTTACTTGGCACTATTTCAATAAACAAATGCTTCTGTTTTAAGGTTATCTAGTAGATAAATGGACGCTTACCAGTTGAACTGATATGCGTGAAAAACTCTGGATTTAAAAGTGAGTTTGATTTATTTTTGAAAAATACGTGAATAAATGACATTGGGTTTAAAAGCTTCTATTTGCATCTAGAAGAAACGATTCAGAAGGCTATTTTGGCAACTTTTCTCTTCTGTTTGAAGCTTGATAAGAGAATTTCTTCCATTTGTTCAAATTAAAAACGTGGAATTATAATTTTAAGTATTTTAGGGATAAAACGTAATTTATCAACCTTAATGCCAAAGAGTGGATAATTAGTTATCATTAGAGAAAACTTTCGAAAAGTCAGCAAATTTGTGTTTGAAATTTTATATTTTTCTAGGTTAAGTCGCTTAGTTTGATATAATTAATGAGAAAACTAACTCCAAAGAACTTATTTTTATGATTATTATTAAATCTTGAAAAAAATTTCAAAAAATAATATTTTAAAATAACGATCTTTAGAGTAATTATTCTAAGTTTGACAATCTACTTTTCTCAATCTTTAGATAAGGATCTAACAGTTTGATCTTATCAGTTCTAACATTATTTTTAATTTTTATATTTAATGCATTTTTCTACAAAATAATTTTAAAAAATAATTATATTGGACGAATAATAATATCATTATAAGCAGATAAAAATAATAAAGTGGCTTGTTTAATTTCGTACAAAACGAAATAAATTAAGTATAAAAACGTTCATAACATATTTTTCTATGATTATTTAATAAATTTTTCAATAAAATAAACATAAAAGTGTTATATGTACCAGTTTGACTCACTAACATTGGTGCACTTTTATCAATATCTACAATATAGGCCTATATCTTTCTGTATAAATGGACTGATTAAAATGTAAAACTTACTCTAACTTATCACATGTTAATATATTCTATTATGTTTTAAAACTTAAAATATTAATTTATTTATTAATTAAATATATAACATATATTTAATTAATATAGGTAAATAGAAATATATATAGGCCTATAATTTTACATAAATACAAATATACAAATATACATATACAAATTACATATATAATACAAAAACAAAGTTTTTATTATTCTGTACAGAAATTGTTAGCAACAGGTTAAAATTAAATAATATTTAAAAAAATTTCAATTATATAAAAATTTGAAATTAGTACAAGAATTCCGAAAACAATATTTATTCAATATAGAAATAAAAAAATTATTTTTTATAAGTTGTATATTGTTTATTTATCATCAAACTGGAAAAGAAGTAACAGCAGGCAGCAGAAAATTATTAATTTTGAGATTTCACATAACACATGTAATCTAACTCTGGAAATTAAAGGTCAACATTTCATTGAAGTTAATCTCAGTTTTTACTTTAGATAACATATGTCTCTTTTTTATTTATTTTTTAAATTCTGGCAGTTTGATAGTAAACTTTCTTTCATATCGTTCTGACATCATCACTGCAATTCTTTATAGAGACTATATATATTAATATTTTATGTTAAAATGAAATAGAATTTTTGATACGCTAAAAACAAATAATAAATAGAAGATATCGGAATAAAACATATACATTTATATATATATATATATATGTGTGTTTGTGCGAGTTTATGTTGTGTGGTTGGGTAGGTGTATGCGCAATACCAATGTAAAATGAAGAAAAAACATTATATTAAAATTTAATTGAATGTTGCAGGATATGAATGTTCTTCACAAAAATGATATTTTATTTATTTTAACTTTCCTTTAAAATAATGTGACTTTTTTATAAGAAAACTTTTGATATAGTATTTATTCGTGTTCACTGATGTTTAATAACCAAAACTTTTTTAAAAAGTATAGAATTTCGAATCTGTAATTTTTAAGGAATTGTATCCATTTTTTCCTTATTTATTGTTCATTATATTTAGAAAACATCAAAGAATAAAAAATAAAAAAGTTATTATATTTTAACTTCTAAAATATAAACTTTTAATAGCAACGAAGAAAAATACAATAACTAACTATTTATTTTATAATATTCTTCATGTTAATATTATTTGTTTAAAGATAAAGAAATGATTTATACTAGTAAAAAATGTTAATAGCTGCTTTGTTTTCGTTAAAGAAATAATTTAGATCGACAATATTAATAATAACAGTATTAAAATATTTCAATTGTGATAATTCTAGTTTATTACGATGGATCAATAAGAGGAACCTAATGATATATAGAACTGTGTAATGTCCAGGGAATTACCGATTAATTTAGTGTTTAATACAGGTGTGCATTTGTATATAGAAAAAGCAATTACTATTTAATGACTATTAAATTTCAATTCTTCCGGAAATCGTAAATTTTAAATACTCAGTTAAGGTAATAAAGATTAGTGAATATGTCTTTAGGATTTATTGTATGATGAAGCCGTTCATATTCTGCATAAATGTAATTAGTTATATTCAAATTGTGTATTCTCTTCTATCGTTCTAAATACTAAAATTATAAAGTATTAACATGAATACAACAATATAGCTATTGTAATAAACATACATCTGTGGCTTTATTATGTTTATGTTTATATACGATTATGTTCATTTTCTTCAGAAACTGTAATTATTATTTAAATTATTTACATATAATACCTATATAATAATAAAAAAATTCTATAGATATTAAAAACTTTTAAAATGAATTATTATAAATCAGAAACAGATTTTAGTAGTTTTTGCTTTCAAAATTCTTGTGAATTAGTGTATCAAAAATTTATATCGATATAATGAAGCTACTAAATTACAAATAAATTAATCTTTAAGACAACTTACTTGCTAAAGATTTAATATAATATATTTTAATTATAAAATTTTCAGTCACCGATTAAATCAACAAATTAACGAACAATTTTAATTATTAATTGTAAAATATTGATACAAATAAGTATTTTAGTAGTATTATGATTATATTTTGTGTAATTTTGATACAGTATTTCCGTACAGAAAAGTAATGAAATATATAACTACTTATAAAATATATAACTGTTTTAACTCATGTAATTTAAATTGTGTATTTATTTTAATAAATATAAATTGAAATAAATTTTTAAGCATTTAAAAATAACGGTATACTGTACATATAAAATTGATAAAAATATCATCATAGAAATATGGCTGTTTTTATATTAGTTCGTTTCTTAAAATATTGCTATTATATTAATAATTAATACTACATGTAGCTCTTTTCTGATGAAATGTTTATCTATTAAGGAAGAAAAGTGGCTTCCGTATTTTTAAAGGAAGTCAAGTCAATAAAGAGGTGACATGAGTCCATGTAATCCAAAAAGATTAAAGAATTTATGAAGACGCTAAAACTAAAAAAGTGATATTTTAATTTTAAAAAGCTGACGAAACTAAAAAACAGATCAGAAGGATTACTAAAACATTGATATCTACAGACTTTAGTAGTTCTCTACTTACTTCATCCATCTTACAAATACATTATTTACAAGAACTTAAAGTAGAAAAGGATGTATCAGTTAATTTTATATGAAGTAAGATTTTAAAAATGTTAATATAAATATAAAATATTAAAAGTTATATTTCTTATATCACTAATTGTTAGTATAAAATTTGGATTATAATCAAAGGTTCTGACATGATATAATACTATTCCGGAATGATTAAACTTTGTATATTTAAGTTCATAGATACAAATGTTTCTGCAATTTATAAAGTTTTTGCAAACATTTTTTAGTGAATAATAACACCATAATTATGAATATAAAAATGTAAATAAAGTTTAACAAATTTTGAAGTGAAGAATTTCTTTGAAAGATACTGTCAACCAATTATTGACAACATAATATCTATAAAGATTTAAAGTTTAAAGGTACTCACATAAGATTCTTAATATTATTTGAGCTTCAACTGTATCTGGAAATACGTCAGATTTTGTTCTGCAGATAAAACGGGCTCCATCATCAGAAGGTCTTGCCACAAACACAATCCTACTTTTCACAGCTAATCCACCATGACTGGCATTGTGGATCTCTTCATAATATTCTTCTTCAATCTTGTTGTTTCTAAGCAAAGTAATTACAGGTTTCGGATTACCACTACCTGTTTGGCAAACTAGTGTTACCTGTAAACAAACATTATCTATAATTATATTATTTACGCCATTCATTCTTAAAGAAATTAGGAATTATTTGTTCTGCTAAAGTATGAAAATAAAAAAAACGTATACAATATAATATATTATAAGTATACAAAATAAATTTTAAAGACACCAAAAAATATATAATATTTGTAAAACCCTTAAAAATTATATCTAAATGAATAATAGTTTTTATATAAAATTATTTAATTTGTGTATAAATATATAGTTATTTTATTGAATGATCTTCGTAATAAAAAATTCGTAATAATAATAAATTAAATTAAGCATTTAAACTAATATATTGTGAATTATGGTAGTTTTCGTATTATCTTTTATGCTGTTAGAGATCAAGTTTTAATAGACTTACAGTTTGCCCTTCTTTCGGAATTTGTGGATCCACTGAGAGTAATACTTTCTCTGATGGAACTGAAAGATATAAACCCATAATGTACTCTGTAACATTTCCAGATTTCAATTTTATTTGTTTTTTTCTTTTTGAAATATAACAAAGAAATAAAATAAGAAATAAAACACTAATGCAAAAGTTATAGCTGTGCAATATAATCTCATTTGAACTCTAAAAACTCAAGACATGAACATTTGTAATATATCTTAGACAAACTTTACACATTATATTATAGTTAAGCTCTTTCTAAAAAAATTTAAAGTGAAATATAAAGTTTTGCTATGTTTTCTTACGTAAGTAACGTTTTTAGTAATATTTATGTCTGATACTCATAAAAATATTATTTTATTGACATATAGTCTAAAGGAATCTATATGTAGGACATTTTATTAAATTCGATTAAAGACTTCGTAATTCGAGTATAATAAAATTTCTTACATTTCTTGTAAATTTTCGCAATATACCTTGTATTGCATTTTTTTCAGTTTATTTCTTACTTAGCTTCAAGTATTTAATGAAGTAATTAACATTATTTATATTTAAAATATCATTTTCTAAATATTCCCATTAACAATGTTAAATTTCCTAATTTAATCGAACATTTAGAACTTTTAACTGCTTTCATTATAACTAATTCACATTACTTAAACATTTTCCTAATTATTCTCAAATTGCAACTTTTTGTAATTAATAAGAATAAAAAACAACAAAATATTATAAAGTTATGAATTAAAATTTAGTATAATCTCGATAATCCCAAATATATCGATCTGGTACAGTGTTGAATTATTAGAAGTAAAGTAAAATTCAATGGTTTAACTACTAGGAAAGAAAACATTTGTTATTTCCGCCATATTATACGTTGTAATCTATAAATGTTTTTGATTAATACATGTTACTATACTGTGAAATACTGAAATTAATTGTCAATCCTTTTAGAATAACTTTCATTTGTCTTTTGCCATTTTTTTTTACCCCTGAGTTCGTAATTCCCGCTAAATTCAGTAAGAAATGGAAGTGACAGCAGGCAACTTATGGGAGGTACAGTATTTTTATTTAGAATATTTCGGAGGACTAATTTTTATTTCAATATTTATAGTGTATTGTGTTAAAAGATATATTTTTTTATCAGTATAAAATTTCGAGCCTAGCAATCTTTAATATCGTGCTTAAGCTCGAGTATTCATGATCAGTATCAATATCATTTCACGTTTAGTAGGAATACGGTACGTTCAAATTTTAGGAAACGGGGAGTTTGAAGTAGTGGGAATTGTCAGTAGTGATGGTAATTCTCGAGAGTTGAATAATGTCGGATTACCGGATGTGACAAACTAGCGAACATACGTATTACGAAAATTCTTCTGTATTTAATAAGTTTTTAAAAGATTTAAAAATTCGAAATAATGTTTATATTTGAAAATTCTATTTTTCATCACTAGCTATTAGTTTAAAATAATGTTTTAAAGACATTTATAAAGAATTTCCATTGAAAGAACAATAACAATACACATGAAATATGATGAAATAATATTCATTTAAATTTGATTTTTCACAAGGTTAGGAAATACATTCTAATATAACTTTATATTAAATCCAACATTTCATTTTACAATTGCATTATTATAAAATGTTTTTACAAGGAATAATTTCTTGCAGAAAATCAAATTTATAACTTATTTAAATTTAAAATGAGAAACTTTTATAAACGGAGATTATCTGCTTAATGTCACTTACAATAAACAGTCAAAGTAACCGATGTTTCCAATGGTTGAGAAATAGCCGGACTAAATGCTTTGCAAGTATAAGATATTCCGTTATCGCTGGCATCAACGCGGAAAACCAACTCACTAGAAACTCCACTTCCAGAAATAGATACAGGTGCACTGATCTATAAAATAAAATTTAAATCTGCATATTTTAATATTATTAAAAGTTTTAACTTGTTATTAAAGACGAATGTTTCTATCATTAATTCAACTTAATTACTTTTACCTTTGTCCACATAATTACAAAACTAACTCATGTAGTTTTATAACTTTTTATGAATTTCATTTATTAATATTCTTTTAGTTACTTTGTAAATTATAAATATATTTAACTAAAAGATAAATAAATACATATTAAAATTTATAATGGTGTATTATTATTTATTAGAAAAAATTATAAACAGTTTATTTAAATTAAGACACTTATATAATACATGCACTTATACTTTACAGCTTAAATATTTTTAATAGCTAAGAAGAAGTATATAAATATACTTCCTCTTAGCACCAAAAGTATATTATAAAAGCTAAAATTCAACATTAATCAATTAAAATTTTAAGAAAATTTATTATAATAACATTTTAAAGATTTTTATAACATTTTGAAAATAGAAATAAAATAATTAAAGAAGGTTTTTAAAAAGCAAAACACTAATCCAAAATAGCAAGGAATAAGAAAATTACATAAGTATTATATATAAAATTATAAGCTTGCATTTGATTTTGTATTTATTTTGTTTTATAAACGAGAGATGTATTAGAATATTCGATGAATAATAGTTTTATTTGCTTACTTATACTTTAAGGAACATGACACTAAACTAAATCATATCGAGTAAAGAAAATATATACTTTTTAGTATGTAGAGAAGACTCTTTTTTCTTGTCAGTTTTCAAAGAAGTGAGGACTACTACATCTCTTAAATATACTTACTGATTTAATTTTGATTTCCAATTACGCATTAATTTGAACAGAACCAAGAAAAATAAAAAGTATAAATTATATTCAGAATAAATTAACAGAAAGCTTCCATTTCCAAATGAAACAAAATATTGTCTCTTTCCGATTTCAGCTTTTCTGTAGATGAATATAATATCTATATTAGAGTTCATATTTGACGCTTTATTTATTAATTAAAACATTAGAACTTTGCATAAAATATAACAAAAATATCTTAATTATATTATATAACGTCATACAGAAATCTAGCGAGAAATTATATACTTTGATGTTTCGATGCTAGAATATAAAACAGTAATTTTTCATTTACATGTGTTAATAAATAAAATGTTATACTTAATATTGAAATTTATGAAACGCAATTTAAAAAATTTATTCTTCATTTTCTGGCCGTTTCATATTGTGTTAATACATTTGTGTAAAATTGGAAGAAAACCGTACGGATCGAAACACATTATATCGAAATGTATAAAGAAACTCTTGTATATAAGTAAAATGGTTTATTTAAATCTTAGCATTTAAATATTGTAATCAATTCTTGTTATAGCACCAAAGGATTATTAAAGTTGAATAATAATATAAAATTAAAGTCCCTTTATAAAACAAACTTCAAAAGGTTATCATTCCTTTAATAAATATCGAGTGGCTTTAGTTTTTCATGCGTGCTTAATATGAAATTTTATTCATTTGTCTCTGTTCACTGTAGCAGAAATAACTCGAATGTTGCTTTTAAATGTGAATCAGATCGAAATGCTCTGCATATTGTTCAGCGAGTAAGTTAAGTGACTGGAGATCAATACTTACCTCTCTGTCTCCCCTATACCATTTTAGGTTTGCCGGAGGATTACCGCCGAGAACTACACATATTAGACGTTGCAAGTCGCCCTGTTTAAGTGCACTTAGTTCTTCGTATCCGAGAATACTAGGAGATTCTGGAGGATCTAAAATTTCGATAAACATTATCTATTAATATAACTTGTTCAAATGTTCAATCAGTCAAACGTATAGAATGATAAAATATTTATATAACTTTATATATTTCATCTTGCTTTCTTTTAATACTTAAATATTCAAGTTATTTTTATTTCGATTCATAAATTTAACATGGTGTATTATTTCTAGTTAAACCTTATACAATTTAATTAAATGAGCTTAAATGAAAAATTAAGATAACCATTAATTAGTTTAAACAATGTTTTCGTGTTTATATTTAAACTAAAGATTTCTGTAAAATTTCTATTTTCTCTAGAAGTAGGCTTTGAAATTTACGCATTGCAATACATACTAAATATAATCTNATTATGAACTTGTAATTAAAATTTACTTGATAATTAAAATTTCTATATAATATAGGAAAATAATATGACAATAAGCGAGCTTTATCTATAAAGTATCATCAATATTATCAAATGAGATTAACTATAAAATAATTACGATTATATCAACTGTTTTTATTAGGAAAAATAAAAATTAATAGTAAAATATTATTAATCCGTTTTAATAATACATTATTATTAAAAACTGATTCACTTTAAAAAAAGTGTTAGATCAATATAATTTTCAAATAATTTATTCTTGTTACTTTAATCGAATAATACTCTTTATGAATACAGAAAATTTTTAAATTAAATTTATTTACAAAATAATATAATTAACATATAAACAATAAGTTGTTCGTAAACTTATTTTAAGACTACAAATGATCAATAATTAAAATTATATAAAATGTAATGAAAACGATAGATCTTCCTTATACTTAGAACATAATTTGCAATTTTAAAAATCTGAAGCATTAAATACTTAATACGGAACGAAAATTGTGTCAAGTGTATTAAATATTAAACTAATTATTAACAATTGAACAATTCAATACTTTTGAACTTAGTTCATTTATTTCGTGATTATTTAATTCTTAAAATTATATATTTATTAATAAAGTAAAACTTCCGTAATGTTAATATATAAACAAATTTATCTGATATTAATGAAATTCACTAAATTTATAATAAAATAATTTATAAGAAATTTATAAGTATATAATTATAGATTCCTTGTGTTTAATGACAATTTTAATAAAGTAATACTTTTATTTTGAAAGACTGTAAATCCTTTTAAAAACTGTACAAGAAAATAAACAATTCAATAAACATATACAATCATAATATTAAATGAATGTATTACAATTATTTTTATTTATTAAAAATATTTTTTACAATTTCATTAAGACATTATAATCATAACACAATATTGTAATTAAATTGTCTAGTTATTTGAAATTATTTATTAAGAATTAATTCATGTCTGTATTTGTACATACTTTAATATTTCTCAGATTTGATTTATTATCAATTTTTATTAGTAATTGCACAATCTTTAGAATATATTCATATTAAAGGTTATAATTCATTGTATTATAGAGAGTTATATTACAGTAGGACATTATTAATCCGGAAAGTTCACACACTTTCTTCTTACAGAATAACAAAATTTCCAATGTTTAGATCAAAAGAACACAATAATAGAAAAAGACATTTAAGTATTACTATTTCTAATATAAGTCGTAAATTGTAGTGAAAAGTAAACAGTGTAAACAGCAAATTTGTTTTTAAATTTTATCTAATGTAAACTTTTCTTTCAAATCAATTTGGGAATGAATTATTAATCAAAGATAAGTACGGTCGTCATCTTGCATTAACGTAAGCTAGACAGCATCTAATTTAAAGTATAATTTCCTTTTCAAAATAGTTTACTACCCTTCAAATAATTTCATCATTCGTTACTATGTTGTTAGCATATTCCCACATAATCCCAATAAACTCGTATGTGTTGATAAATAGTTCATTAATATAATGTAGTAGAACAACCGAAAAGAATTTTACAATGATCATCTATTTGTTTTTACAGTGCATAAAATAACTATTTAGGGACATAAATTAACGTTTTTTAAAAAATGATATTTTAACAGAAATTTCATATTTGAATAATTTCTTAGTTTATAAAACCAGATAAATGACCTTTCCATTAAATTCGTCATATAGTTTCATTAAAAAAAGATTTACTTTAAAATATAAGTAAATGCAATAAGTAAAGGATTGTTTACCTCGAAATCAGATATATTTGATAGATATTCACAACAATAAACGCGTTTGTTCGATAAGAATGCTACATCTCACGCAAACTCGAGTTTTCTTTTGGAGTCAAAACCACGATTTTACGTGATGTATGGAGAAAATCTATCTTTTTACTATTGACAGCGTATAGTGGTTTATGGTATTTTTAAGTATACAAATTTTTTTTAACTTCAAAAATGATGGATAATTTTTTACCCCACCTCTTGAAACTTCAAATAAAATATCTCAAATAATAAATATAAATACAATCATAAAAATCTTTTAAAACGACATTGGAGATAAATTATTGTATATTTATTTTAGATTTTCCTATATAATAAATTAAAGCTTTTAATTTAAATTTATTAATAACAATTTCTAAAATGAAATTTTAAAGCAATTTTTTATGCTATGTTTAAATATATTTATTAGGGCCGTACTTTTCTTATTTTATGATAATATATATCATTACGCATAGATTAAAATTATTAATATTATAAATAAATTTATATAAAATATTTAAAAGAATCATTTACTTATTTAACATATTACGACCTTTCGTCATTCGTTTCTCTAATAATGATCATTATTCTTGTATGATTATAAAAATTATAAACAATTTTATACATATTGTTAATTTCTAAATACACAGTTTATATTATAAATAAATAATTTCTGGGAATTTTTTATATCTATAAATTAATGATCTATAGAATAACTAACATTGCAGCAATTTCACTCTTTATATGCTTATATATTTGATTTGGGTAATTCCATTTGTATAGTAAAGAGCGTAAAAGTTACTTATTAGGTATTTGCTTGATACTTTTTGTGATTATTAATACATATTCAATATTATAAGACTGAAATTAAAGAGAAATAATTTTTTTTACATTCTATGTAAAAAAAATGTATAATTCTATGTTAACCGATTTAGTCATAAATAAAACATTATATTTTTACTAAAAATTTATATACGATTCAATATTTGACACCCGAATTTAAAATATTCTTGAATGATAATTATGTAAACATTAATTGATATTATGAACTTGTAATTAAAATTTACTTGATAATTAAAATTTCTATATAATATAGGAAAATAATATGACAATAAGCGAGCTTTATCTATAAAGTATCATCAATATTATCAAATGAGATTAACTATAAAATAATTACGATTATATCAACTGTTTTTATTAGGAAAAATAAAAATTAATAGTAAAATATTATTAATCCGTTTTAATAATACATTATTATTAAAAACTGATTCACTTTAAAAAAAGTGTTAGATCAATATAATTTTCAAATAATTTATTCTTGTTACTTTAATCGAATAATACTCTTTATGAATACAGAAAATTTTTAAATTAAATTTATTTACAAAATAATATAATTAACATATAAACAATAAGTTGTTCGTAAACTTATTTTAAGACTACAAATGATCAATAATTAAAATTATATAAAATGTAATGAAAACGATAGATCTTCCTTATACTTAGAACATAATTTGCAATTTTAAAAATCTGAAGCATTAAATACTTAATACGGAACGAAAATTGTGTCAAGTGTATTAAATATTAAACTAATTATTAACAATTGAACAATTCAATACTTTTGAACTTAGTTCATTTATTTCGTGATTATTTAATTCTTAAAATTATATATTTATTAATAAAGTAAAACTTCCGTAATGTTAATATATAAACAAATTTATCTGATATTAATGAAATTCACTAAATTTATAATAAAATAATTTATAAGAAATTTATAAGTATATAATTATAGATTCCTTGTGTTTAATGACAATTTTAATAAAGTAATACTTTTATTTTGAAAGACTGTAAATCCTTTTAAAAACTGTACAAGAAAATAAACAATTCAATAAACATATACAATCATAATATTAAATGAATGTATTACAATTATTTTTATTTATTAAAAATATTTTTTACAATTTCATTAAGACATTATAATCATAACACAATATTGTAATTAAATTGTCTAGTTATTTGAAATTATTTATTAAGAATTAATTCATGTCTGTATTTGTACATACTTTAATATTTCTCAGATTTGATTTATTATCAATTTTTATTAGTAATTGCACAATCTTTAGAATATATTCATATTAAAGGTTATAATTCATTGTATTATAGAGAGTTATATTACAGTAGGACATTATTAATCCGGAAAGTTCACACACTTTCTTCTTACAGAATAACAAAATTTCCAATGTTTAGATCAAAAGAACACAATAATAGAAAAAGACATTTAAGTATTACTATTTCTAATATAAGTCGTAAATTGTAGTGAAAAGTAAACAGTGTAAACAGCAAATTTGTTTTTAAATTTTATCTAATGTAAACTTTTCTTTCAAATCAATTTGGGAATGAATTATTAATCAAAGATAAGTACGGTCGTCATCTTGCATTAACGTAAGCTAGACAGCATCTAATTTAAAGTATAATTTCCTTTTCAAAATAGTTTACTACCCTTCAAATAATTTCATCATTCGTTACTATGTTGTTAGCATATTCCCACATAATCCCAATAAACTCGTATGTGTTGATAAATAGTTCATTAATATAATGTAGTAGAACAACCGAAAAGAATTTTACAATGATCATCTATTTGTTTTTACAGTGCATAAAATAACTATTTAGGGACATAAATTAACGTTTTTTAAAAAATGATATTTTAACAGAAATTTCATATTTGAATAATTTCTTAGTTTATAAAACCAGATAAATGACCTTTCACTGTAATTAAAACTTGTAGTTTTTTAAGTTAAAATTTTACAAAATTATAATTTATATATTACAGGTATTAAAATTTTATTGACATGTTTACTTTTCCAAATTTTATATGTTGTTATTTTTATTTATAATTTTTTGTTAACAGATATAATGAATAAAATTTATGTAAATTATATCAAAATAATTTTGAATTCTTTTAGTTATATAGTTAAAAACGCGTTATATCAATAAAATTTTAATTCTAATTTTTGTAATTTCAAATTTTTATTAAAT